AACAGCCAAGAACGCAGATTCTTGCAGGGTTTAGCCTCAGGCCCTGCAGCACGTCTGCGGCAATACAATATACCCTGATAAGATTTTCATTTAGTGTAATATGATGACTCATATTATAGTACAATAAATACCACGTTAGAGTACAATAAAGTACTGTATGATATGGAGGAGGTCCCTAGTCCCACCAGTGATCGCGGCTCGCAAAATCCAGCCGCTCAGGTATCTTCCGGACTGGCTCCCAGGAAAGTGGTACTTGGTCATTCGTTGGACAGGGTGTAGGGGGTTTGTTTGGGGGGATTGGGGGTTTGGGGTTTCAGGCTTATTCTGTGTTGATGTGGCTTTAGCTTAGGGTTCAAGCTCCGTGTTGTTCAGATGGGGAGGCTTGAAAGGGCAGAGACATGCGTCCATCCATCCAGCCATCCAGCCTTCCATGAATGCGAGTAGCTGAGGCCAGCTTGTAGTCCTCTTCACTAAGTTCAACCGGTCCTGCAAGTTCAGGGTTTCCCGTTCTTAGCGGGTGCCAGAACAATTGGCAATCTTATTCCTTACCACTCAAGGCTTACTACCATGATATACCCCCAAAACCGTATTCTAGTTATGACGCCCCAAAATATTAGGCAAATCATTTCCGCGATCCGCCGCCGCGGCGAGACGGCTGACGGATGACGCGCACACCTCTCCGTGGCTTCGAAATCCTGTTCTGCCTGAGAGTTACCCCCTCAACCCTAAACCCTAAACCTTGAGGTTTTAGGGGATTCAGGGGATTCAGAGAGGTCAGAGCCTTGAAAAGTGGCTGGTCACGTTGCTTTAACCTTTAACCCTAAACCCAAACCCCCTCGACAGTCTGTGCTGTCTTCGGGCGCGAAATGTGCACCCGAACACATGGAAGCATCGGATGGAAAAAGGCAACTGCAGGGCTATTCTTGTTGTCATGGGGAACAGTGGTTGTTGAGGTGTCGTTCTGGTGGTTGTTGTTCTTGCTGATGTCAACCTTCAAGTACTCCCTATGCCTAGTTTCCTTATGACTTTGTTTGGTTTTCTGGGATATGGGACATTTGCACTTGTCAGCAGCACACGATGCAACGAGGAAGAACATGACTACAAGGACGAGCATGCCTCGACAGATTGCCCCATCTAGTGGTGATGTGCTCATGGTCGCACCTTGATGATAATGTTGATACCCAATGACTCTTCCGTTGTTGTGCTTGGCTCCGCCATCTCGGCTTCAGGCCAGCTGGTACGAGGTGTCTCCCTTTTTGTACACTCAGGATAACTCAATGGACGTGTGGCCCTGTTCCGAACGCTTTGGAGTCGTCTGCTCGTGCAAATGAAGTGGAGTAGCATCGTGTGCATGTGAGTATGGCCAAGTGCAAAGTCCCAAGACCCTAGGACTTGTTTCTTGAAGCCACGGTTTTGGGTGCCAGTACGTAGCTCTCGTACTTCCCTTCTCTTTGGGCCCTGACATGACGCCCGCAGATCTGGAAGATCTGAATTCTGACTTTGCCGATGATGCCACGTGGGTTCTCACCAGCAGCTTCGTGATCCTGACGATGCAAAGTGGCTTCGCGATGTTGGAGATGGGGTCTGCTGCAAAGGGCCACGAAGTAAACATTCTTGTCAAGAATGTCTACGACGTGGTTTGTGGTGCTCTGGCGTACTACTTGTTGGGATATGGCATCTCCTATGGATCACCATCGAACTCGTTTATGGGGCTGAGTGACTTTATAATGGACATATCCAAAACTGACCCCACCAGCTCCGGCCTTCTGTTCAGTAGCTTCATTTTTCAGTTCAGTTTTGCTGCCACCTCCACAACCATTGTCAGCGGTTGCCTGGCCATGCGCTGTCGATTCTGGGTGTATTGCCTGTATGCGTTCTATGCTGTGCTTGTGTATTCCTTCGTGGCGCACTGGGTTTGGTCAGCCAATGGCTGGCTGGCACAGTTGGGAGTGCATGACTTCGCTGGCAGTGGCCCCGTGCATTTATTGGGAGCCGTGAATGGCTTAGTAGGGATCCTGGCCTTGGGACCGCGTCAGGGCCGATTCGACGGCAGCCGCCCTCCTGAAGACTTCATGCCGTCTTCCCCTACAAGCATCTTGATTGGCCTCTTCATGCTGTGGTGGGGCTGGATTGGCTTCAACTGCGGCAGCTCCTTCGGAATTACCCAAACTAAATGGATTGTCGCCACCAGGGCAGGTGTAACGACGATAACTGCAACTGCTGGTGGTGGCACCGCCGCACTGCTGTACACCAAAGCCAAGTCGAGGGGAAGGCAGCTACGGATTGAGTGCGCACGGCTTCAGGGTTTAGGGTCGACTAAGCTTCTTCAGCCGGGGCGTGAGCTGTGTAGGTACGCCTGTGCCATCTAGAATCGAGCAGGTTAATTGTCGCGGACGAAATCGCCAACGGCATTTTGGGGTCCTTGGTGGCAATTACTGCCACCTGCGCCTGCGTGCACCCTCCAGAGGCGCCCTTAATTGGTGCCGTGGGTGCTATGCTTGCTTTGCTGGCGAATGACTGGACACTTGGCGATGTAGTGTAGTTGGTTGCCCCTCTGGAACATCAGTTCTGTTGGAGCTTGCATCCTGACTTACACCCCAAGGGCGCTAGATCCTAAAGCCTGAGAGACCTAAGTACTAAGCCCAGGGTTGTGCGTCTGAAACTCGACGACCCTGTCGGCGCAGTCGGTGTGCATGGCGCGGCAGCGGCATGGGGAGTGCTTGCAGTAGGCACTAGCAGGGGCGGGGGCTCAGCTGTTGGGTTTTAAATGTTTACGGTTGAGGCTTCAAGGCTTCGGGTTTTGGGATGTTTGCGTTTTTTCGGTTCTTGGCTTTCTTAAACCTTCCGCTGCTGCGATGGGAGGTCTCTTCGCTGATGGGTCGCTGCCCGGCATCGAGGCCAGGATCATAAAACACACCAGTACCAAAACTCTCCCAACCTGAACCTGCTGCTGCATCTCACTCACTCTTTCTCGCTCTCTCCCGTACTCTGTGTCTGTCTGTCTCGCTCTCTCTCGCGCTCTCGCTCTCACTCTCTCACTCACTCACTCACTCACTCACTCACTCACTCACTCACTCACTCACTCTCTCTCTCTCTCTCTCTCTCTCTCTATCTCGCTATCTCTCTATCTATCCATCCATCCATCTATCTATGTATCGATCTA